GTTGTCAGAAGGGACCATTCCTTGGAGAAGGATGTCATGCTTGGTAGGGTGGAGGGTCGACGAAAGAAGGGGAGGCCTTCAACGAGATGGATTGACACAGTGGCTGCGATCATGGGCTCAAGTATAGCAGGGATCATGGAACTGGCACGGGATGGGCAGTGTTTCCTTCTGCTGTGCATGGGGTCGCTATGAGTCAGAAACGACTTGACAGCGCCTAACAACAACAACAACACAATGACTTTGCTAATATGGAAGAGATGCAAAATGTAATACTTATTATTAGTTTCTAATAAATGTACGTTTTCTTTTTTAGGATGTTCGAAATAGGTCTAAGGTTGTCGACAGGCTTTATAGTCTCTACAAACTTACAGCTCGTAAACATAAAATAAATACTGAAAGGATACTTTATAAACACAAAAAGAACTTTCCTATAAGGATTCCGTTTATTCCAGAAACACCTGTTAGAACCAGAGTTGTTTCAAGGTAAGCATTTAAATACACTATTAATTCATTCATTTAGCAAATATTTAATTAAAAAGATTAAATCTTTGGTAAATCTAAAGTGACAGCTCAATAAATAAAGTAATAACACTGAATAAAGTAATATTACAGTGAATAAAGTAATAACACTGTAATGTTGGGTATGTAGTGGCTACTCAATAAATTTTTTACGTTAAATATTTAAGAGGGCTACTAACCTTGTTACAGGCTTTGCTACATCATTATTTATTTATTTATTGCATATAGTACTGTTTGAAAGCTGCCAGAAGACCCTATTGGTCAAAATGTCAACCTTTAACTCCTCCCATAATCCCCCTGATAGTTGAAATTTACCCCTTTGTAGAACTTTTTCTGAGACCTATAGAGATAATTGTGATTTGACAAATTTAAGACATGTTGCTTTAGAAATTTAAAAAGAAAAAAAAGTTGGGCATTAGATTTCCTGGTTAACCAAACAGACCCTGCTGTCTGTGCTAGAAGTGAGAAATGGTATGAGGCTATATTCTGCTCTATGAGGTGCTTGAGTTGTATAGCATAGAGGTACCGAGTTCAGGAGAAAGACAATAAACAAATAATTCAATTGTGTAATAAAGACTGTAACAATTGCTAGAATAGAAAGTGATTGGGAAGACATGCTGAAGGAAAGTTGGTCAGGAAATCTTCTCTGGAATGTAATATTTAAGCTGAGACCCAAAGGATAGATAAAAGGAAAAGACGATGAAAGAATAAGATAGATTGGGCATGGCAGTTGTATCATGGGTTCCATTTTGGATAAGCCTGATGTGCCATGACATAAATAAGAGGAAAATACAAAGTCACTGAAAAATCAGTTCTACAGTTGTGGGCAGCTTTTGTTGTTGTTGTTAATTAGGGAATCATTAGCTTCAGGATTTAGATGCATTTGTTATAAAGCAATGGGAATGAATGAGATCACCTAGGAAGAAGAGTACAGATAGAAAAGAGAGTCCCAAACAAGTCAGATAAAGAACCCACCAAGACTCTGAGAAGGATGCTAATCAGATAAACATTTCAGAGTGTGAAGGTCATTGGTTAATGTGGTGACTACATGCCAGATTAATGAGGATTGAAAAACTAATGGAACACATCAGATACATGAGCATTTATGGATTCATGGATACTCACAGAGGAAAAGTCATTGGTTATCCTGGGAGGCTAGAAAAACAAATTATGATGCTAAATATGGGTCAAAGGAAATGATCAAATATTTGTCCTGTTGTTTGCAAAGAAACTATATCTAGGGTAACCAAACAGCTGATGTAGAAAATTCTTCTTTATTAACAAAGTCCATTTAATAAATTCAGAGTGATTATGAGCTTAGCACTATTTGTTGCCCATAATGAAATAATAGGTCTATTCTAACCCACTATCATTCTTGGCTCTAAAACCTTTAGGTGAATTGAATGGATCCACTTGCTGGGGTCCTTTCTTCCATATGACATTTAAAAGTTTGTTTTAAAAAAATACCTACTGTGATTTGATAAGTATTGCTTTAAATCTATAGATCAATTTGGGGAGAGTCGAACTCTTAACAATATTGAATTTTCTGGTCATAAGCATGGTATCGCTCCATTTTGGTGCTCTGTCATTTCAGTACTGTTCTATAGTTTTCAGCATACTAATCTTGCACATATTTTGTTAAATTTATCCTTAAGTATTTTACATTTTTTAAATATTAGTTTTTAAATTTACAATTTCTTATTGTAAATAAGGAATGGTGACAGAATTTGATAGGACACCAAGAACCAATTTTCTAAGGAATAAGACAGAAAAACTCAGAGTTTGTTAGAAGACCAAGAGAAAGTATTGGGGAAAAAAAGAAAAAAGCATGAGGCATAGAGGAAGCAGGATCATTTTTCAGGATGATGGAGAGAAATCATCTGAAACCAGTAATGGTCAATAATATGATTAACACCCATACATCTTTGAGAGGGTAGTAAGGGTAGGATGTATTCAGGAATAGCCACATTTTAATTAAGATAGAAAGGTAAAGGTAACTCTCTTAAGAGAATAATTTTATTTATTAGTGCTGTATTTTATTTTTTTTCACAGACTTCAGCCAGATTGGGTTTTAAGAAGAGACAGCCTGGAGGAAATCACTAATCCCCTGCAAGCTATTCAAATGGTGATGGATACACTTGGTATCCCTTATTCATAAATGTAAACTGTGCATATAGCAGAAAGAAATAGTAAAGCTAATCATGTATTTGTATGTTATTCCTCGTTTTTATACAACTTCTAATATATGACTGTATTAAAATTAGAATAAATAACAACTAAACTATTACGTTTTTCACTGTTTTTTTTTTTTAATTATTATTTGACAGCTGTATGCATGAGTTAATATGCCATAAGATGAATTTTAATACTGTTAATACGTATCTATTATTCAAAGTACTGTATTAGTTTAAATGTAATTATATTCCTGAAGGATAACAAACACAGTATATCACTTCTGTTTTACCAAAAAGTTAAGGCATTTTTCTAAAACAAATCTTGGAAATTATACCCAAAACCAAACCCACTGCCATCGAGTTGATTCCAACTCATAGCAAGCACCATTGGGTTTCTAAGGCTGTAAATCTTTATAGAAGCAGACTGCCTCATCTTTCTCCTGTGGAGTGGATGGTGAGTTCCAATCTCGGTCAGCACCTCAACTTTGGAAATTAAAGATACTGCCAGTTAATTTAAAGGAAGAAGAGGATTGCTTATTGACAACATCCCCATTTGTATTCTTGATTGACTGCCTAGACCATCCAAATTGGCAAGTGAGGCCCTGTAGGGTAATTAGGAGAAATACTAAATACCTTTGTATATAACAGTGAGTTAACCAGTTACCTATGACCTTTTATCACTCATGACAATGACCCATGTGTGTCAGAGTAGACACAAATCCTGCTCCACAGGATTTTCATTGGTTGGATTTTAGGAAGTAGATCACCAGGTCTTTTTCCCAAAGAGCCTCTGGTTGGACTCAGACCTCCCAGTTTTCACTGAGCCACCAAGTTTGCTAACTGTGAGACAGGCAGGAGGCAGCGAAACTCCTAAAGGGTTAAAAGACAGTCTAAAGTTATAAAACTACTCAAGCCTCACAGGTGTCACCAAAGACTAACCCACATCCTGGGACATAGGGTACAGAGTAACCAGCAACCCCTCCAGTTCCGAGTTTTACCTCCTTGCAAGATGTTTTACAGGCACCCTAGTTTGATTCAGCTCACCAAGCATGCACACATTGCCATGAGATGATTACTATATGACCTTCCTGGGGTGGCAGAACTGAGGAAACGGCACTGACTGGGAATCGAACTGATATCCCAAGGGACGGCACATGCATGACATCCCATGATAAGTCATGTCAGGTATGCCGGCAGCCCATGCAATTGATGTCAAGTATTCCAGCAACCCCTGCAACTCTTGTGCATGCACCCCATTTCCAATATGCCACCCCTTCCTGAGAAACTACCAGCCCTTCTCAGAAAATCCCCACTGATTTCATGAATAAAGATGAAGTGTCTTACTGCTCAAAACCCTTAAAAACCTCAGCAAATCTTTGCTCAGGGAGACAAAGGCTATTGTTGCTTAGTCTCTCTTTGTCTCCACTCATGAACTACTTTCTCTTAATATAAGATTTGTTTAAGGAGCTCTGGTGGCATAGTACCGAAGGCATTTGACTGCTAACCAGAAGGTTGGTGGTTCAAACCCACCAGCCACTCTGCGGAAGGGTAATCTACTTCCACAAAGATTTAGTGTTCTTTTGTCCCTCTTTGTCTCCAATCATGAGCTACTTTCTCTTAATGTAAGGTTTGTGTGGAAAATCTGAGCCTGCCTTGGTCAGTAGAAGGTAAGAGCCTGAACGGGGCCAACCCTTGATGGCGAAGGGTTCCTTAGAACATTTGCACCACTCAAGGATTCGAAATTCTTAATTTTGAAATGATTAGGGTTATAATATATAATGGAAAGAGCACAGTATTGTTTATAATAGAAACTTGTTGTCAAGTCACATATCACAAACTAGAAAATGATTCAGTGTTGAAATATTACTTGTCATTTTCTATACCTTTGGGTCATTCTGTCTGGTTCCAGGTCCACAGAAACCTAATTCCAGTGTCTATTTGAAATCTAATAGGGTTTCAAAGGCCTATACTTGAATTTGTTGCCCATATGTGGAAGCAATGAAATCTTTTTGAAATAAATCAGTAGTAAAATAGCTGGATATAAAGAAATGATTTAACGACTTGACATATTTTATGAATTTAAATAATTTTAATGATTAAAACTGATTGGTCTGGAATTGTTTGTGGTTTGGTTAGATAAAGCTGAAGACCATATTGGCATGTTGAAAAGTATGTTGAAATTAACACTGGAGAATTTTTAGTACTATTTGGCTTTTTTTTCCACCCTAATGAAGTATCTGAGGAGCTCCTGGTAATTTGTATTTCTAAACATTTTAGTTTTTTATTTTCTAGATTGCTTTTTTCTCCCTTTTTTGCTATAACAGAATTTTAGAATAAATAATCTGTTTCCATTGGTACACTGTACTGCTAGGGTATTATGGACTATAATAAGAATGTTATTGGTACTTACTTCCTCCAACTTGGTTATTATCAATTAGTATTTGCACAAGAAATATTTAGATGAAGTCATACATGCAAGAAATGATTTCCAGATGTTAAAACAGTTATTCTATTGTTGATTCTCAGATTAGCAGTTTTTACATTTTGCTTAATACCCAATTTTTTATGTAAAGAGCATTCCTCTTAAATTTATATTATAAGCCCATATTGAGATTCTAAGCTTTCACAAAAGCTAAAGGATTTGTGTGGCTGTGTGTGAGTTGGATGTTGCAGGAACTGATAGAAAAATCACTTCTTTTACTTTTGGAAGTAGCTACTTTCTACACAGACATAGATGTATTAAAGAAAAAATATAAATGTATTGACTACAGTCTTATTTTTGGTGAGTATATTAATGATAAGGGTATTTGATGAAGTTAGGTGAGTTCTAAATTAATCCTTTACTAAATGTAATTAAGGAGCCCTGATGGTGTCATGGATAAGGCATTTGGCTGTTAACCAGAAGTTCATTGGTTCAAACCCACCAGCCACTTTGCAGAAGGAAGATGGGGCAATCTACTTCTATAAAGATTAACAGCTTTGGAAACTCACTGGGGGGTCACTGAGTGGGAATCAACTCAATGGCAGTGAGCTTTCAGTTTTGACCTGTAATTAACACAAATTTCCAGTAGATGTCATTATGACCATGTAATATAATTTTCAATATGTAAGTATATAATGTTATATGGGTAAATTTTTGTCAAATAAAATCCATACATTTACATTCTTGGAAATATATTTATATGCCCTTAATAGAAATTGGGTATTCATTCCGTATCTTGATTTCACTCTTAAGAGAAGGAATACCCATGTGCCTACTAATTCAAAAGGTGATGAATTTTTCTTGATAGATAATTTTTCTAGGTTTATTATTTTCCTAATTTCTCATTTTTGTTTTCAGCAATAAAAGCCTAATACATTTCAAAATCGTAGAGATTTATGAAAATACTATCTTTTGGATCATTATTGCTACTAGCTAAGTTTACCAACAAGCTTGCTTTTAATTTTTATTTTGTTCAACCAGTCAATACTTGCTATACCAAAAGAGTAATCTAGTGTAGTTCTGCTTTCAGTGAAGAGGAAGAATCCCAGTGAAAGCACTTTGTTTAGAAATAATACAGAGAAATATTTATTTATCACATTTGTGTGCATGTAAAAATTCCAAACCTATATGCAAGAAGAAATAAATATTCCAAAAGCTTACTTATTTCAAGAAATACTTGTGGAAGACTTCCAAAAGTTGCTTCTGAAACTTTGTCAAATTATGAATTGCTTTTTATCAGAAAAACAATAGCAACCTATTTCATAAAGAAGTTTTGTTGTTGTTATGTGCCATCGAGTCAGACCCAACTCTTAGCAACCCCTCCTTGGATTTCCGAGGCAGTATCACTACGGAAGTAGATTGCCCCATCTTCCTTCTGAGGAGTGGCTGGTGGGTTTGAACCGCCAGCCTTCTG